TTGGTTCAAGTACACAGGAAGCACACTTAATATTTTGACGCAAGATTGTTTATGACGGTAGAGTTTAATAATCAGGGATAAGAAATAGAGAAAAAGCGAGAGAGACAGAGAGAGAGACAGAGAGAGAGAGAGATAGAGAGAGAGATAGAGAGAGATAGAGACAGAAAGAGAAAGAGAGAGAAAAAGAGAGAAAGAAAGAAAGAAAAAGAGAAAAAAAGGGACGCAAGGAGAGGCCGATCTAAAAGACGCACCACCAACACTCCGAGAGATCAGCTGTCGAGTTATGTACCACCGTTCGACTCTAACGTCGAAATGAGCCGACCTGTCCGCGTCGAAAGCCAGTAACGTCAACTCTCGCGGGAGCCAGGGCCCCACTCTTTTACCAATCTCTCTTTGTCTCTCTCTCTCTCTCTCTCTCTCTCTCTCTCTCTCTCTCTCTCTTTTCTTCCTCTTCCTCTTTCTTTCTTTATCACACTTTACTTATTTTATTGTTGAGAAACTTGAAACTTGAATTTTCTTGACTCTTTGGCCTTGTGACTTTCGAATCGACAAAGATGAAATACTGTTCTTCTAGATTGTTTTCTTCTCTTAGGAAAAAAAAATAAACAAAAAAAAAAAAGAAAGAACCCATGACAATCTCCTACTCAAAGATTGCACTCTCGGAATAGATTCTCGGAATATTGTAGATTCGAAGTATGAGTCATGAACTATAAAGTAGTGGACGTTAAAAGAGGATCGAACAAAGAGATATTAACGAATTCACATTTCTTTTTTTTTTTTTTTCTTTTTTTTTTTTAATCTTTCTTCGATCGTAATATCACGTTGATATATTGAATATATTTCCTTGATATGTTACACGGATGATACGTAATCGTGATTAATATTCTAGGAAAAAATAAGAATAAAAAAAAAAATTGTATCGTTCGAATGGCACAGTTATATTTATTCAATGGAAACATTGATAAGATCATTTGTACATTTGACGTTCTTTGTCGAAATGAAAGGAAAGCATTAAACTTTCTATACAGTAAAATGTAGCAAGTAGATATTATCGATTTGTTTCTTATTTTACTTTGAGAATCGTACTTTGAACAGAACTTTATTATTGTCGACGATTTCGTACAAGCTTATAACGTCAGAACGACTCCATTTTTCTTTTTCTTTTTTTTTTTCTTTTTTTTTTTTTTTATGATTTAATAATACGTCTTGAGAAATTTTCTTGTTTTGCTCCGTAACGAAAAGAAAAAAAGAAGAAGAAGAAGAAGAAGAAAAAGAAGAAGAAAATAAAAAATAAATGATGAAAGGATAAAGAAAAAAAAAAAAGAAAGGAAACAAACAAAAAAAAAACGATGCGATTAGCAAATAGACTAAACGTCATTTGGAATTTATTCGGAAGCAATAAAAGACAAAAAACTTACCACTTATCGTTTTGCAATTCGTTGCTCAAGAAACTACGATTACAACTATAATTCTAAATTCTAAGCGATATTAAGTGCATACAGAAAAGTATATTTATATCGACGATTAAATTCAACAAATCAATATCTTTATATGATCGATGACAATTCGTATTTAATGATCGATTTACAAAAAAAAAAGAACAAAAAGAAAAGAAACAAAGAGGAACAAAGTCAAAAAGAGAAAGAAAAAAGATTGAAGAAATTTAACGAGAATAGAAAAATTCCGAACTTTGTTCAAAAGGGGCACCTGAATCTCAAAAGACGTTCCTGAAACATTTCGCGCATGCACACAAAGCAGTTGATTATTCTAAAGACGAATTTTCTATGATCGTTCGGCGAATTTTAGAACTTAATGTTTCCTGAGGCTCGTTTTAAAAGGAAAAATGGAGGGAGGTTAGGAGAAAGAAAGAGAGAGAGCGAGAGCGAAAGAGAGAGAGATAGAGAGAGAAATAGTGTGAGAGAGCGAGAGTGAGAGAGAGAGAAAAATAAAGAGAGAGAGAGAGAGAGAGAGCGAGAGAAGGTAAAAAGATGAAGAAAAGAGAAAGAACGCATAATATATAGAGATCATAGTCGAGAAGGAGGAAGAAAGAGAATGAGGAGGAAAAAAAGGATAGTGGAGGATACGGGAGGAGGGCACCAGTAAAATATCTCTCTCTCTCTCTCTCTCTCTCTCTCTCGAGCGAAGGAGAAAGGAGAATCGGCCAGCACATGGGTCTACGGGTCGATACTCTAGCACCGAAGAGAACGCTCGGTACACTTGCACTCGGCCGAGTACGTCTGCACCGGGGACGCCTGGCCGCTCGTCCTAGCTGTGCGTACAACACGAGGCAATCTTGGTAGGGGAAGAATGCTCGTACTCGTGAATGAAGATCGAATTTTCGTTTCGGTTCGGCTCATTCCCTTTCTCCTTATCTCTTTTTATGACGCAAGTGTTTTCCCTCCTCTCTATGATAAATCCCTTTCTGATAAATCTTTCGGAGTTTTTCATTAAGAAAACCTAAAAAAAAAAAAAAAAAAAAAAAAAAAAAGAAAAAAAAAAAGAAAAAAAGACGATAAAAACAGAAAGAAAGAAAAAAAGGAAGAAAGAAAGAGAGACAGAAAAATGAAAAGTTGATTTGAAATTTGAAATACATCAGAAAAAATTTATACCATAATTTCTGCTTAGATATTTTCGCTTGAAACATTCTATATTATTTTTTATGACGGTAGGTGTGTATCTTATAATACTGCATTATGCAGAAGCGATAACTCTTTTTTAATTTTTTCTTTAGGAGATTTGAAAAGAATAAAAAATAAATTTCAGACATATATATATATATATATATATATATATATATATATTTGATATCTTAAAAAAAATATGGAAAATATTTAAAGTTAATTCTCATAAATATTTAGTCATACAAAATTGTTTCGATATAACAATTATTTCATAAAGTAAATTAATAATTTACCTAGTATCAAACAAAGAATTATTTGTCTCTTAATTGAGGTCCATTATTAACCGATCGATAAAATACATTTTTAGGCCGATATAATACATCTTTGAATAAATGATAGTTCGATCGTCGATATCTTGTTTATATACATCTTTCGAGGGCGTCAAAGTAAGGAGGATGGTGTCATTGAATTATTTCGACATGGAAATGATCTATATAATGGAGTAATGACGTAAGTATTGCCGAACAAATGCATAAAAAATTCATTTCTGATGGGATTACAATTTTTTTTTTTCTCTGAAAATCACATTTCTTTCTTTAATATCATTTATTATATCTAAAAAATATGATGAAACATATTAGAACATTAAATCTTCCAAAGTTTATTGTCTAAAATATCTCTCTAAAAATCAAAATCAAAATCAAAATCAACGAAATTATACAATTATATAGATATATCAATTTACATAAATGTTTTAGATTTTAGATAAAATATTTTAAAGACCATTGTTCGAGAGAAGTTAAAGAAAGGCTAATGGTCCCTGTGTTACTACATGGAAGAAGAAGAAGGAAGAAGGAAGAAGAAGAAATGTGCTTTCGTCTATAGCCCAAGCATCTTAAGGAATTTTATCTCCAAGTGTAGAGAAGAAGAGTCCCCAGCACCTTTCAATGGGGATACATATGTATGTCTGCTCTGTATGTACATACATACATAGATATATATCTACATATGTATATACTCTATTTTACGTGAGCAAGGAATATACATCGCATCAATGTAGATAGAAATAAAAGAATACAAATGTATGTATGTACCTGCATGTAAGTATACATCAACGTGTACATATATGAGCTTTGCTAAACACGCGACATAACACAGCCCTTTTTCTTTCACGCAGGACACAACCTTTGTCTGCCGTCAAAGCATATCGATTGCAAGCCGTATCCCATGGAAAACCTTTGCACCCGTCGACATCACAACTACGATGTCACCTGAAAGTACAAATTTTAAATTAATCCAACGTACTATCAAAACTGTTTGTTCGTTTAATTTAAAAAGGTATCTTTTTAATGTTAAATTATTCTGATTGTGTCAACGACGACTCGAGAATATTGCTGAAAAAAATAAAATTGTTATTATTATCATTACCTGTAACTTATTGTCCTATTAATTCTAGACACACAAACGCATATACGTGTTATTAATAAATAAAATAAATAAAATTAATTTAATAAATAAATCTTATTGACGTTAATAAGTCTATCTGTTTTCTTTATCGTTTAAAACAATGTGTTTTTATGAACCATCAAGAAAAATTAATCGGCGAATCTTCTTTTGTTCATCAAGATATCGATTTCTCATTCTCTCTTCAGTATGATCTGCCTGATGCTTATGACGTAGGTAGATCGCTGTTTTACTCTCTAGCGATGAATATTTATCAGTTCCACTTGACGGCAGAAGTCCCGAGAAACACTCGATGTCATTACTCGTATCCATTGAAAGTCATCGCATATGATCCTCACGAGTCCATGATTTAAATTTGTCAAATGAAAGAGCTAGAACGTTATAACGAGTTTGCTGTGTCCTTTAAAATGCGTCTTTTATCCTTTTAGACGACCTCGATGAAACCACAACAAATGTGTGACAAATTATCCTGAAAGAAAGAAAAGAATTAATCATCGTCAAAATAAATTATTAATAAATAAAAAAAATATATATATATATAATTTCACATATATTTCATAATATAACTTATACAAAAAACTTAATATAACTTTAACACAAAGTTATATTTAATATAAATTTAACATAAAGTTATATTTAATATAACTTTTAACAAAATACCGACTTTAAGCATCTTTGATCCTTTTTTATCAAATTTTTTTCTGTTTTTCTTTCTTTTCCAAATTTTCTGAAGTATATTATTGAAGATCGTTATAATATAAATATATAATCATTTAGATTGGATCAATTATTATAAAAGAAATAAAAAGAATTGTATAGCACTTTACACGATGCATCGTCATCTTATTCGTTAATCGTCTGTGTTATTCGATGGAAAGAAAAAAGGAAATAGAAGATAAACATATGACAAAAAACGCTGACTATTCCTTTTACGAAGAAGTGTGTATAGTTATATTAAAGATAAAAGTCGGTGCATCTCGGAATCCTTTTTTCATCTAGTGCATGTTTCCGTCCGGTTTTCTACTTTGCACTCAGATATTTTGTACTTGACCGTCGCAGTGCGGCCGCACCGAACTCACTGCGTTTAGATCGATTTTATGATTACATTATTATTCTTTAAACAGATGTTTCGATTTGTTAACAATAATAATTAGAAATAAAGATATTTTCTTTGTATATATATATATATATATATATATATATATATAAAATTTATAAAGAAAAGAAACAGTCACCATTGAAAATGCCGTGATGATCAATAAGAATGATCGTGTTAAGTCAGCATATTTTTATTCATACGTAATGGGCTGCCCCGTAATGTCTGTCTATTTTTGACTATATGTTCGTCTTTCTAAACATCAACGATAGAAATGTCTGCATAAATATATTGGCCAAGTAAAAATAAATACAGCACACATGTATCGTATTGTTTGGGTTTCTCGGCATAACGGTATTATTTTAGAATAAATATACATACACACGCATACACACACAAACATAAATATATATATATATATATATATATATATATATATAATATGCACGTATTTTACTTTTTAATATACATTTACCTATTTAATATATATTATTATATATTAATTACATAATAAATGAATTTGAATTAATTATATGTATTGTAAATGAGGTCATTTATTGTATAAAAATTACTGAGTAACATACTTTTACGATAAATATTTTTATAAACTCGACTATATACGAAGATGAGAACAAAACGTGTCCTCTTTTCTCGGCTTATTCTACGTTATGATTTAACATGTATGATGTATATTAAACGTACTTGTATGTATGTATATATATATATATATATAAAATATACTATATATATATACAAGTTTTCTAAATAATAAATTCGATTAAATTATCAAGCAACGCGTGAATGATAAACGCGCTCATCGTTTTTGTATTTATATTAATATTAATGACAAATTGAAACAAAGTCTAACAATTGAGATTTAGATTTAACGTTAATCATCCAAATGATTCTAGAATGATTCAAAGTTAAAACAAAGACAAAGACAAAACCATACGAGTATAAAATAACGTGATACGTGTTCATGGTTGAACACATAATCGATGTCCGAATAACAAACAATCGATACCTCATCTGTTATGAGGTAAGGGTTTAACTTGTTTAAACGCTCGATATAATCTATCGATTCTTGGTGTAAAAGTAATAGCGACAGCTCGTAGGGTAGTTTAATTTTTACATTGACGCAAAACGATGGAAATTTATATTTGAAATCATGCGGATACGTTTCAACAAAGTCAATTAGGATTCTTTCTATGCGTTTCTCCAATCTTCCATATGTGACTTAAGTCGAATTAGGACGCATCTACATTCCTTCCTTTGTTTTCCGCAAATCATCTAGATATGGAGATACTTTTTTGAGCTCGAAGGTCATTGAGAAAATATATACATATGTCCATGCATATGTGTGTGTATGTTTGTGTACATATAGAAAGAATCAATAGTTCCTAGATGATTTTATTAAATCAATTACTCTTTTTCCGAAACTTTTCAAACTAAATTTTTTTCTTCAGATATATAACGTGAATTATATAACGTGAACTATATAACCCTATATAACGTGAACATCCACAAAAGCTTTCATACAACGTTAAAAAATTTAAGCAATCTTTTGCAATAAGTCGCTTGCCTCGTCGCTTGCTTTACACTTACATGGCCTCGCAACTTTAAATATATGTATAATGACAAAGTTCATCTTTTAGATTCGATTATATCTTATTAACAAAGGCTTTGAACAATAAATATTCTCAATAAATCGTCGATTGCTAGATCGTTGACCTTGCAAGGGAATTAGACTTGCAAGTGATTGTCCCTTTAAATCGCTTTTTATAATACGTAAGGACTTATAACAGCTTATATTTTAATATCCTAATAATTTTATCATCGTCATTATCATCATCATCATCATCATCATCATCATCATTATTATTAATATCATTATCAAGAATTAGTATAGTAGTACTTTTGAAATTTTTCCATAAAAAATATCCGTCGAACGATAATTAAACAAATATGTACAAGTTCATATTCGCAATTTTCCTATCTATTACAAAATAGACATATATATATATATTATTGGTAAGGGAAAAAACAAAAAGAACGCCTGATAGATAAGATAGCGCAAAGCAACAGTAAATATTACGCTTGCGGAAACAATTCTTTGGTACAGATGTACTCGAGGTAACACACCCGCTAACTGTCTGGTGAAAGTGCAAACATGTGGATTGTCATTAAAACCAAGGCGAACGTATAGAATTCTTTTTTCTTTTTTTTCTTTTTTTTCTTTCTTGTATCTTCCCTTCCCCTTTATTTATTTCATTTATTTATTTAATTATTTATTTATTTACTTATTTTTTTTTTTTTTGCTTTTTTTTTTGTAATTAAATTGCCTTTAAAAAAAGCTATCCTCTACAATATTTATCATCATATATTTCTTGTCAAGTGACTCTTCTCGACGATGAGTCGGACTTTATCCTCATTGATTACGCGTGTATGTACTTACTTTATCGAGTTATAATGGCGTATCATATGAAAGATATTACATGAAATATACCTTTTTTTGTTTTCTTTTCTGTTTCTTCCTGTGCGACATGCACAGGAAATTATTATAAAATGAGTAATTGTTTGCTAGTATCGTTTTAACGAATAAATTGATGCTTTCATATGGTGAAATTACCTGGAAGAATTTAACCAACCAGTTCGATGAACTTCCTTCCGTATATTTTTGTAATCCTGTCGAGCGATAAATTTCTAGTAACAAGAAATAATGAATTCGTTTGAAGTTCTATCAATCGAAGTACTATCGATAGTACAAAAAAAGAAAAAAAAAAAGAAAAAAAAAAAGAAAAAAAAAATAATTAAAAATGTATAAGTGTACACGCTATAGATATTTCAACATTTAAAGTTTAATTAATAATGATCATCATAGAAATGCTTTGTTCGATTGAAACAGTCGACTTTAAAGTAGTTTATCATTTTCAACGTAAGATGGCAATACCTATGTTCTCTATTTTGTAGGTTAATATATATATATATATATATATATATATATATATATATATATATAAATATATATATATATGCACTATGTAATATAAATATGTAAAGAATAATAAGATTGCTAAGCAATGAATGGCAATAAATTACAAGCGATATATATATATGTGTGTGTGTTTGTGCGTATATATATACATATATATATTGGGTAATGTTAATATAAAATTTCATGGGTTTTTTATTCGATGACAAACATTCGGTTCAAAGGCTAAAAATGACTAATGTTCGATTACAAAATATTCATTTGAAAATTGAACGATGAATATATATATATATATATCACATTTACATATGTGTATATATGTATCTACATGCATAAGCATTTGCACATGAATCGTACAAAGGTGTGATCAAAACGACAGGGAGAATCACAAAGAGCTCACCTTGATCGGTACATGTAAAAAGATGCAATAATAAAATCTTAATTAAAATTTCTATGATATTAAATAATAAATATCTTTAGAAAATATATATGTGTAATCTAATTTAAAAAAAAAAAAAAAAAAAAAAAAAAAAACAAGAAAAAAGAAAAAAGGAAAAAGAAAAAAGAAAAAAGAAAAAAAAAACAACAACATAGTATTTCTACTTCTACGAATATATCCTTTTATTATTCTATTATCTTATATTATTAATTATTATCATATATAATATGTCAAATTGATTGGTTCATAGATACACAGAGTGGTAACAAGCGGTACCACTGCTATTTGCTAAGCGTTGAATTCTTCGTTTAAGAAGTTTTCCGTCATCCTTTTGATCATATATATATATTCTAAGGACGTTCTATGTGAATTTATTACGTCGTCAAAATGAACGAACTATTAGCAAACGTTGAAATTAGTAAGACAGATAAACGTTGCATGGCTGTCTTGATTGTCGTCGAATGATCAGGACGTTAAATTTATATTGTAAGGGACTTGGTATCGTAGCTCGTGGTAGGGATGTGTTGAAATTAGATCAACTTGTCAGTGTTTCATACGAACGATTGTGCGTGTACTTTTGAGATGTTCGAACCGACGGAGCAGGGAATGGTGAGAAAATAATATTCATGAATTTTCAACCGTCATCTTTTCAACACACGCTCTCATATCAACGTCGTATAAACTGCATGAAATTCAGGCAGCACGTCTAATTCGAGAATGACGTACATCGAACATTACCCGCCCACATGTTTCCCCTATCAAATGTCAACAACAATGTATTATAGACAAAAAACGTATACGAACGGATCATAAGACTTGATATTTTTGTTAATGTTTCATTTAAGTTCAATTATTTTTATACGTTTCGAATATTCGATCAAAACTTTTTTATCCTATGCTTCATATTTTAATACTGTAAACACTGCGTATAGGTTAGCTCGCTTTTTTTCCATGTAGTTAAGTGTACGCAAACGATTACGTTTTTTGATCAGCAATATGAACAGCAGACTGATTAGAAATGAAGCATCTGAAAATAAATATACTCGATCATACAGCTTTTTTTTTTTTTTTTTTTTTTTTTTTTTTTTTTTTTTTTTTTTTTTTTTTTTTTTTTTTTTTTTTTTTTGAATAGTATATCAAATACAATGATCTTTATAGATCTTTATGTGCCCATAAGAATTTATTACATTAGTATATTTTAATTACTATGACTCATGTATATATTGAAAGTAATGTAAAAAAAATAGCTTATATAAGATTAATCTCACTTTTTTCCTTCATTATCGAAATGCTGCTTTCTTTCTAGGATCTCTGCATCTACGCAGGGGTTGTACTTCGTAGATCTAATAGCAAAGAAGACGAAGTTCACAGCTCTGGCACTCTGAACATTGTAGAATATGTAAGAAAAGAATAATCTATTATTATCAATTTATATGCATGCGTATAAAATGTATATAATATAAATTTTTTTTAATATGCAAGAATCATATGTTATCTTTTATGCGTTAGAGTTTTGGAAAGTGCATAGAATGGAAACCTGTAGAAGATTCAGTCGTGTTAGAGAATCAGGATCAAGATCCGGAATGGTCTTTAGTAGACACCCATACAAGAAGAACTCGTACATCTTCCGATGGTCCAGATTCTCTTGGACGTTCGAGAATCGTTAGAATATTATTCTCTGACTTAAAATCATTTCGTGTAAATCATGGAGGACAACAGCTTATATTTATACAAAGGGATGGTACCACCTATGTTGCCTTCTTCCAATTGTCGAAAGCTGAAACCTTTACTAATTCTTTAAAGAATTTTATTAACTTTAGAAGATCACCGAAAGACAAAAATTTGTATCATGTATTGGATGAGGTTGAAACTGTTTTAAACAAATCATTCGCAGAATTGAATTTATTTCAAGAAAATACTTCGGATTATGTATGGAAATTTATGAAGAATTTACACAACCGTCCATATGAGACTACGCTAGAAGCATTTAGCAAATTAGCGGACATTTGGTGTAAGTAAAATACATCAAAATTCATACTTATTGTAAATATTTCAATAAAATATGACATATTAATCTAATTATATATTTCAGTATATAAGGAACCAGCAAGAAGACCGGTTGAAGAAGCAGTAGCAGATTTGTTTAACTCTTCCTTTACAATTGATGTCCATCATCCACCAGTATCTGTTGGATCAGGGGATGAGTATGAAGTAATAGGAGAAACGGATATAGGTTTATCATTACCATCGAGACCTCCTTGTCCAAGAGGTATGTTACTTGATATATATATATATATTTATATATATATATATATATATAAATTCGATACAAAAAAAGATTTGCAAAGAAATGTATTAATAACATTAAAAATATTAGGCTCACCTTTAACACAAGAACAATGGGACAAAAGTAAGGATTCAGAAGGAAGAATTGTTGATTCAGATGCCGTTAAAGAAATCATATTTCGTGGGGTCTGTATATTTTATCCACTTCAAATATTCTTCTGTATGATGATGTCAGCTGCAATAATGTTTTCTAAACTCTTAGGGTATATCTCCGTCCTTACGTTATGAGGTCTGGAAATTTTTATTAAATTATTATCCATGGAATTCAAGTCACATTGAAAGATTGGAAATAAGAAAAAAGAAGGCTGATGAATACTTCAATATGAAACTTCAATGGCGCTCCATGACACCATCACAAGAAAATCGTTTTGCAGATTTTCGTGATAGGAAAAGCTTGATAGGTAATCTAAAATGAGATATTAATCTTAAAGGATATTTTGCCAATAATATATTAATTTGATTTAAATGATTTATAGAGAAAGATGTGAACAGAACAGATAGGACACATCCTTATTATTCAGGCGACAATAATCATTTAGAATTATTATACGACATACTCATGACATATGTTATGTACAATTTTGATTTAGGGTATGTTCAAGGTATGAGCGATCTGCTCAGTCCTATTTTATGTTTGATGGATAGTGAATCAGATGCATTTTGGTGTTTTGTTGGTTTTATGGATAAAGTGGTAAATTATTAATTATCTATTATTATGAATCATTTTTATAGTTTTATTTACTTTTTTTTTCTCCCCTTTTTAAATATAGAGTACAAATTTTGAAATGGATCAAACTGGAATGAAAGCACAGCTATGTCATTTATATACTCTATTAAATACTACTGATCGACAATTAGCACACTATTTAAATCAACATGATTCTGGGAATATGTTTTTCTGTTTTCGTTGGTTATTAGTGTTGTTCAAAAGAGAATTTAATTCAATTGATATAATGAAACTATGGGAGATTTTATGGACTGGCTTACCATGCCCTAATTTTCATTTATTGATATGTGTGGCTATATTAGATACAGAAAAAAATGTATTGATGGAAAATAATTTTGGGTTTACGGAAATACTCAAAGTAAGTAATAATAATGTTTTTAATAAACAATTTAAACAATGAGCTAATAACAATCGTTTCTCTTTTTATAGCATATAAATGATCTTTCTTTACACATTGAACTACCATGGACACTTTCTAAAGCAGAAGGTATTTTCCATCAATTAATGGCAGTAGAAGACAAATTGTCTGACAATGTGCGTGTTATTATTGGTCTAGAACCTCGAAAACGAATAGATGGAAGTGATATAGAAGATGATGAACCTTCTAGTTCTTGTGCTAGAACAAGATTGTGCTCAAGACGAAACAGTTCAGAAAGTGGAAACATCAAGTTTGGTAGTAATGAAGTGTCTTTTGAAAGAGGTCTGAATTTGTCATATCTATGAGATCAGGATTGGTCTTTTGTCACAATTTTGTGATTATAAAGATCTATATAAAAAAAAAAAAAAAAAGAAAAGAACTCTAGGCTGCTAGTATCGTGCACAGAAGAATTCTTATATTATCATTTTTCTCTCTCTCTCTCTCTCTCTCTCTCTCTCTCTCTCTCTGTCTCTCTCTTTATCTTTCTTTTTATTTTTATTTTTTTTTTTTTTTTCTAAACATGTCACGATCTCGTGTTCAGCTTTCAACGAAATTAGATTGCACACAAAAAGCGAAGCTTTGATGTAAAATAAAAAAAAAATAAAGTATTTATCTCCGATCGTTTATCATTGGTATTCTATTTGTGAGAAAAATGAGAAAAAGCAAAAAAAGAAAAAAGAAAAAAAAAAAGAAAGAAAAACAAAAAGAAAGATTATTTCTTCTCAAATTTTCAATTTTGTCATAAGTGTAAATGTAAAAGGTTTATATAATATTTGCAAGAAACAGCAAAACTAAATATTAGTAGCGTTGAATTTTGAGATATTTATAATATATTTGCTGTATTTATAAGAACTTTATTAATACTTGAAACTATTATCTTAATGGAAGATATAAAAAGTTATTCAAGTTGATACCGATTGGCTCATTTCTACCAAACTTTGCATGAACTTTAAATATCGAAAAGGGAGCAATGATATTAAACTCTTATCTTGTAACAGCGCAATGTGTGGAACCTTCTTCTTCTTCTTCTTTTTTTTTTTTTTTTTTCTTGGATTAAAATGACATGTTTTCTTAGATTTGTATAAAGTGTCACAAAAGCGCTGTATATTTCTAATAAAATCACCTATTTAATCTTACAAATTGTTTTCATTTGATCTGTCCCTTTTATTCCCTTTTTATCCTTTAATTTAACATTCTCATTGATATTACGTTCATTTTAAAACTGTTAAAATTTATATTCTAATTTAATAAATTTATAATTATTATAGATAATAATAATTATTTATAATAATAATTATATATAGATAATAATTATTATTTATAATTATAATAATTATAAATAATAATTAGAAAAGTACGAATGGAAGAATTTATGATCTTGATTTAATTATTGAAAAATAAAACAAAATGAGTAATGAATTTTTTCAAATAATAATTTCTGATAGATAAAAATATTTTTTACATAATTATAATTTAATAAATAATTATAAATCGAAGAATATAATACGTACGTAAGAGAAAATATTTGTTTGAAAAAGTCGACGATAGATCGTTAAAGTAGAACAAAACGAAATGTAATGCTTTAACGAATGTTGTTAATGATTCGTAACCTTATTTACATATATAGAAAATAATTTTTCGAAAAGATAATATATTAAACGATAGTAAGGAAAAAAAAAACAAAAAAAAACATTTGAATATTATCTAAATCTTTTGAATAATACTAACGTAAAACATCTACATAATTTTTGTATTTAATGCACGAGGGCGTTTCAACGGTTTTCCGTTTAAAAAAAAAAAAAAGAGAGAAAGAAAAAAATAGATAAAAAAAAGAATTAAATTCTATATAAACAATGAGACTTTTTATGTTGGTATAAAATATAACTGACGTTTAAATTCTTCGATTTGTCACGAGGTATGGAATTTCTTTCTGTAAGAAAAAATAGAAATCGAAAGAAGAAACGTAATGTGAAAAAGCGACGACGCGAACGTATCAAATTGGAGGTTAAATCGATCAAAAAGCAACGGTTGTTAAAAGAATTGGCTAATGTATCTATTTCCGAAGAAAAAATAATAACTGAGACGATGCAAGCCGATGCATTTTGGAAAAATTATGCGGCTGCTCAAGAGTGGCAAAAAAGGTAAATTATTATTTTTGTAAACAAGTTAAATTTTTTATTTTCTTTTTTTTTTTTATTTTATCTTTGTATCTATTTATTTAATGATTTATTTTTATTTACCACACATATTACTATACATATTATTATGATTTTATTTATAATAAAATCATAACATTTATAATACTTATATTATAGTATAGTCATCCATTTCAATTTGTTTTTTATTTTCTATTTTGTAAGGGGAAAATATTATAAAATTTTTATTTACAGGCACAGCGTAATATGGTGGAGATCACGTTGTTTAGCTTTGGAACACGAGAATGAAATATTACGAAATAAAATTAGATCTTTAATTGGACAAAATAATCAACAGACTGACAATAGAAAGACTTATAAGCAACAACAGAATAGTCATAAGAAAGATAATAATTTTCAAGATAATGAAAAAAGGAAGGAGCCTAAAGATGATCAGGATTTGGAATTTCATGTGGATGAGGATATGATGACCTTCTTAGAACAAAGTTTACGTCATAAAATGGAGTTGAAACAAAAACGTGAACAGGAATTAGCTGCTAGCAAAAAAAAGGGTATAGTTTCTATGGAAGGAGGAGCAGCTTGGGCTCGTACTAGAAGTAAAGAAGCAAAATTATTGTATGGCGATGCAAGTCCCACGATATTGGCTATGGAAACTGCTTTACGGGCAACAATAGAAAGACACAAAGATAAATCAAAACCTCAATATTGGCCAAATATACCATTAAGGCTATAAATTATTTTTTTTTTTTTTTTATTGTTTTAATGCATATAACTTGAATATTTCTAATAAAAAAAAAAAAAAAAAAAAAAGAAAAAAAAAAAGAAAACAAAGAAATGTAAAATCAATTTTATTATCATTATTCAAATTTTAATTTCTATCGTTATTGTTATAATCTTTTATATATTATATTTTATACATTATGTATTATCGTTATAATACATAATTGCAAGTAATGTTAAGCTAATAACTATTTGAATACGTTTTGGGGAATAGTCTTTCTCTATTGTGCATTTTTAATTTATATTTTGTTAATACTTATTACTGAAATCATAAATACTACAAATAAACAGCCTTAAGGCTGTTCGCTGTCTCTGATTTTATAATAGTTTATGGCATCAATGAGAACATACGTAATTCTTAATCGATTTTAATGAACAATATCTCATTTTAAAGACGTAGGTTTAATCTAGGACATATCTTTTTCTAATTATTGAAAAAGTTTTATTTTCTTTCAAAAAAAAAATCATGCTCAAGAATGATATTTTTCGAGAATGATTTATCTATAAATAAAAAGCTTTTTGAAAAATTCAGAAAAAATAAAGTTTTAGATAAAATCTTTGTCTATGAAATGAGATCTTCGTCCATTAAAATTAGTCAAGAAATATGTTTGTTCTCGTTGTTTTGATAAATGCTATTTTTGATATTTTTCGCCATAGAAAAAGTTTTATACTGTGGCGCCACTTGAAACTTGCGACAAAAGAGAAGAAGCTCGCGTAGCTCCATTACTGATTTTCACATACACACTTGAATGGTTACGTTATGTCCGTGAATTAATGATTGCCTGCTTCTGTTGAAAAGAAGATAAAAAAATAAAAAGATTTGGCGCCGATTTGTCGCCACAGGTTCATCGAGATCATCGAGAGACAAACTTATCATCGATTTTTTACACGGAAAATACGAAAAGGTAGGGAGAATACTCGTACGCATAGACACGGATGTTCGCGGGCCAATTGAAAATTTTACTAAAGATTTCATTTTATTTGCTTGAAAATTTCATTAGATTACCTCGCGAATGTAAATTTCAGAATAAAATCACCCGTTAGACTATAGATCTTCAGATGCAGCAACCTCCACATGATGAGATCTAAAAGTCGGTATTACTTGCGATATATTAAAATCTAATTCTAAATCACGCAATGCAAATATTATCGAGCGAACAGCTACATATTTTAATATATTTTCAAAATTTCATCAATTTAATTCTGATTTAATACTACAGTACTAAAATTTTACATTGGCAATAATATTTCTAGAAGCAAATAGATAAGATATAGTAATTCGAAGATAATTTCTTTAAATTCGTAAATTTATATTATTAAAGTTTATATATCCCGACAAGATAGTCGTATGATGATGACAGTGTTCCCCATTTGTATTCGTAGTTCATATTTTGTCCATATTTGTCGCTAAAGTCATACACGCTTTGAACAAAAGATAGTGAATGAATAGCCGACTTATCTACATTCTCAATTTAACACAGTTGGCAAAATAGCTGTTCACTCTTACCGATATATTAATTCAGTCGGTAAAATCGCATCTTATTATTATCGATAAATTAAAACTTGATCGGTAAAGCAGAGACCTATTATAATCAATTGATTTTGATTCGTCCGTAAATATTGTTCTACTATTATTAACAAATATTTTATTGGCTGATAAAACAGCGCTCTACTATTACTATCTTTCTTTTTTTGTTTGATAATATAAAATAGTTTTCTTTTTTTTTTTTTATATTAAATCGTTTTATTATTACTAAATATATCCAAATTTTATTTGATTTTATTACATCATCTATTCAGATTTTATTTGTTTGATCGAGCTGATAATAAATGTTGCATTTAACATTAATTTCCATTATTCAAATAATTATATTTACTCTTGTTATTTAATAAATCTTATATCTGTAATGAATTTCATTATAAATAGATCTTAAATTTGAATTATTCAGATTTTAACTGTTTTAGCAATAAATAAACTTTTTTTCAATAATTTAATTTAATAACAACGCGATATGCTTTATTCTATCGTAGGTTACATCAATAAATTTGCTTTAGTTATCGAAGATTGTAAATCAAATGACGTATAATTGATATAATTTCAATTATCAGTTATCAATAATTTTCCATTATTTAATATTATATTATAATTATGAAAAGAGAGACAGAGAAAGAAAGAGAAAGGAGGGAGTGAGTTAAAGGGAGAAAAATTATTCAAGAAGCTATATGAATCATAGACATATATTGAGTACTTTACTATTGTCTATTCAAGTTTGTAACGTTATTATAAACACAGCCATGTGATTCGCGTTTATTAAATGGCATTAGGAGCGCGAGAAGTTCGGGGTTACAGGTCTAAAGTTAAAAGCAATTGTCCTGGAGGCTACCAAGAGTCGCTTAAGAACATTATAAAGAGGTAGGAGGTAAGAGGCCGTGGTCTCTTCTATGAAAGAGAGTAAAGGACTCGTAATCGTCGTGACAGAAGTAAGAAAGATAGAAAGAGCAAGAGAGAAGTTCCGAACGATCATGCCAGAGGCATTATCGAGATTCTATGCGGGTTTCTCTCTCCATAAATGACACCTAACGCATGAAATATACCGCGGGAAGCAATTAATGGCTAATGCGAACGGCCACGCCATAACGTTTCTATATTATTATTACTCGCGTTTGAAACAATCGATTTACGTTGCATCGAAGAACTTGAAAAATCATTGTGAAGATCCTTTTTTTCTTTTTTCGAATCGATCTTTTTTCTTTTTACGAATTCTTCGAAATAACGTTGGACTTTTTAACTTCAGCAAAGAATCAAATATAAAATATTAATTCGTTAAGTTATTCTATTTAGTAATAAGTTAGAGAAATAGCATATTTCTTTTCTTTTTCTTTCTTTTTTTTTTTTAATTTTTTTTTGTCCTCTACTGTCTATAAATTGTAAGAGAATATATTTGATTGAAAAGAGTAAATTGTAGATATTTAAAAGAGTCGATCGAATCGGTAAAATTAATAGGATAAAATAGTAGATATTTAAAAGATAATTAATCGAATAATTATCTTGATTTATTTATTTAAATCAAATACGATCAAATAGATTGACTTTATAATAATTTTCTTGGCTATACGATGATAGGGATTAATCGATTATTCGAAAATTTATGAATCTAAATAGAAATAGAATTCGTTTGATTTTGAAAAGTAGTAACTTTTTGAGATATATGTATACGATAGAGGATTGATCGAGGTCTCTCCAAGGGAAGACACGTTCTGCTAGTAGATATATCGTGCATAGATTAGACGAAAGAAAAGAAAAGGAAAATAAAGAGGGTAGAGAGAACGTAAAGAAGAGCCTGCCTCCTCGACCCGTCAATACTTTATCTCTAAGTAGACCCGTTGACACGGACCGTAGAATTCCGAAACCAGTTCGTGAGACTTTAACATCGATACTTTGCTTTGGAGAAAGCACCTAATTATCGAGATAACGCGTTTCGCCGTGTCGATACTGCTTCACGTGTATCGAAGCCCTATTCCGTCTTTCTACCATATACTCCCACGGGATCTTAAAACTTGTTGTTTCTAAGAGAAGAGAGCTTGCTCATCCTTACCTTTTTGCTTTTGTTTTATTTTTTTCTCTTTTTTTTTTTTTGTATTCGTCATTTTCATGATAAATCTTACAATTAATCGAATAAATACTTTTCCAATGGAAATTATTATTTTTTTATTTTTTACTTCTGCATTAATTGCTTCGTTTTAATACTTCAAAAAAAAAAAAAAAAAGAAAAAAACAAAAACAAAAAAAAAATAAAAATACAAAGGAATGCATGGTATTGATTATTTAAATTGTTTTAGATAATTATTTATTTACATAGACGTAAGAGAATTTTAAAAGACTTAATAATAAATCAAACAGATCGAAAATTGACGTATGATCCTATAATCATTGAGAATAATTTGAAATTTGGATTTGTACTATTTCCAAAATTATTTATCTGATATAATGACGAAGAAAGACAAGTGAGTGTATTTCATTTTTTTTTTTTTTTTGAAAAGAAGAAAAAATAAAAAAAAAAAAAGCAAGAAAAATAATTCCTCTATGTAATCGTAAAATTTACAGAATAATAACGATAATAATAATTACAAACTTAAAACAAGATATATCTTTTAATATTTCAAATAACATAAACCAGTTTCATAATTATTGATACATATGATACATTATGAAATGATCGGAAGCATCGGTTAATAGGATGAACTTTTCTTTTTTTGAATTTCGTTTAAAAATGTCTCATGCTGATGTTAAGAGACGTAACGTAAAAGCTGTGTTTCCCTTGATCTTCTTCCATATAAGAGATCCCTTGGACGATAATTTCCAACGTGTTTGATATTTGAGTCTCGCAGAAAATACCGTTTTCTATGTTTTCCTTCGAGGCAGAAGGACTGTGTGTGTGTGTCTTCCTCTAGGAAACTTCAGAGTATATATATATATAAAGCCGTATATACATATAATGTATATATATATATATATATATATATATATATATATACATATATATTTATACCCATATATGTACTTATACATGCATATATCGTAATGTATATGCATACGAGAGATATCTTATGCTACGCGACGACTTTCATTTAGATCTTTATCGATCAACTTTCACGATATAGTCGCCATCCATGTATGTATGTATTTATGTACGTATGTATGTATGTACGTATGTACGTATGTATGTATGTATGTATGTATGTATGTATGTATGTATGTTGTATGTTGCGTTGCATCGTCCATGACGTAGCTTTCCCGTGAACATTATATCGAAGAATTATATATCATTTCATCTCGGTCTCATTGGTAGGAAAGAGAAGAGAAGAGAAGAGAAGAGAAGAGAAGAGAAGAGAAGAGAAGAGAAGAGAAGAGAAGAGAAGAGATACGTATACGTTCTTTAGAGTGATTGAAATAAATCCTA